TTTATAGAGTTGATTGAGTTTATTGTAAATACGATTCTCCATTGATTTTTCTTTTGCCATCAGATTTTTCTTTTATAAAAAGTAAATTCACATTAATAAATAAAAGTACATAATGTAAACCTATTGAGTAAGTTATGGATGTCATCCAAGAGGTACATGAGAGAATAGTGAACTGCAGTTATCCTATATAATATCCTTTTATATGACAATTTTGGCAGCGTAAGATAGAGTGGTAACACATAACTAGGGTGAGGAAACATGTGTGTAATTGAGAATATAGTTCAACGCACTTCAAATAGCAAGGAAATGAAGTTGAAGCTGACCAAGATTAACATTTGGAGATAGAAGCCAATGTTGAAAATAGGCTCCATCTTCCTTGAGAGTACAATATAAGGCTTGAGGCTTCCATAGAAGGATAAAACAAACCTGACTACTGCATGGGACACCAAAGCCTGTTATTTAAAGAGATTGAAGAGCCATCCCTAATCTGCCAAGTGAAATGGTTGATGATCAAGTCACTAGCCCTAATAATTCAATTCCAAAGATAAGGGGCCATTATAAACTGATTTACAGTGGCCATTCACTTCCTTTTTTTTAGTATTTATGTATCATAATTACTATCTTCATTTATTATTATAAGAGCTTGTTTAACTTTTAATTTGGTCATAAATATAATCCTAATTCACTTTGTCTTTCATATTTATTCATTTTTTTCAAAGAAGTTTTTATAGTAGTTGCATATTTAAAGGTTTCATCATATGGTAATTCTAGTTAATATACACAATTACCAAGGGTATTTTAAGAAAGACAATACCTATTTATAACAAATAATTAACTTAACTAATTTTCTTAATTTCTCCAAACTAAAGAAAGGGAGTTCTTTATAAGCACTGCAAGTCCATCTTATGAGAGTAATTTACTTTTCCAAGGTGCAAGACGATGAACAAATTTTTGGATGATCTCCTCGGACACCTTAATATGTTGTCAATGATCATCAATAAAGGTGCCAAAATATTTGCCCGACCGAGAATGAAATTTAACACCGAACATCTTAGCCAATCTTCTCTCCAACCTGTGGGCTATAGCTATGCTACCAACAAGGACTGATTTTTGACAATTAATGTGCACATGGGTAGCTTTGGACAGGCTACATTTCTTGTTGGATGCCCAACTGAAAAATAAGAGGGCTACATTCTGCAGCATGCTGCCCGACTCTACCTGTAAACCGTGACCATTTTGGATTGGACAAAGATGTGCTAGGTAGGGTAAGCTTTTTTAATTTTTCCATATGTGAAAAAAAATTTCAATTATAATTAAAACATATATTTCCTTAAAATATTTTAAAATAAGTTTGTAACTTGAGTATTGAAATTGAAAATGCTACTACTCCTCCGGTCCTAATTATAAGACCCAATTGACTTATTTGAGGAGATTAAGGAAGTAAGTTAAGTTGGTTATTTATAATAACTAAGTGTTGTCATTCCTAAAATATCCTTGCTAATTAAGTATATTGGCTAAAACTATCATTATTAGAAGGATTATCTTGAAAAAAAATGTATAAATATAAGAGACAAAATGGATTGGGGTCTTATAATTAGGACCAAATAAAAAGTCAAATGGGGTCTTATAATAAAGACCGGAGGAGTATATATCTTAACAAATATCCATACTTCAAAAATTAAATAACATTTCATTATTTTATACCTTGAAACATTTTCTTTTTCTTTTTGTGAGTGAAAAACTAGATTTCATTGCTAGATCAAAACAACACAGTACAAAGAAGTTGTAACTTATCTTCCCTCATCAAACTCCACCTATAGAGATTGATGTTTTTCTCAGTCCAATTGGAGAGTAATCAAGGATGCAAAAATTAACTCTCATAGTGTGAGAGGACATTAAAATACTACCTCTGGTCCTAATTATAAGACCCAGTTGACTAATTTGAGGAGATTAAGGAAGTAAGTTAAGTTAGTTATTTGTAATAAATAAGTGTTTTTATTCATAAAATATTCTTGCTAATTAAATGTATTTGCTAGAACTATCATTATTAGAAGGATTATCTTGGAAAAAATGTATAAATATGAGAGACAAAATAGATTGGGGTCTTATAATTAGGACCAAACTAAAAGTCAAACGGGGTCTTATATTAAGGACCGGAGGTAGTATTTCAAAATATCCATACTTTAGGTCTGTCGTGAAAGTAAAATGAAATCAAAACAAACAAAACACTATGTCCGAAAACTTTAGCCATTATCCAAGTGATTGCTTCGCATATCTCTTTCGAATAACTATAGAGTGTGTATATATGAGAGCTACTTAATTAATTTAAATAAATTAAATAAATTAATTTAGTTATTTATTATAAATACGATTTGATTTTTTAAGGTATTAATCATGACAGCTTTTTGTATGGAAACCCCTTAACATATGTAATAAATAAATAAGAATATTTTAAAGAGTAAATTACAAATTCAGAGGACAAAATCGATTAAGATATTATAATTAGACAAAATCAAATTTCCAACTAGTGTTTGTATTAAAAACTAGAAGTAATTTATAGTGATTTTGATTTTGAAACACGGTGCTGATCCAAAACAAAGGCCTTCCTCACTGCCAAGTTTTGATTTTCAGTTCAATTGCCTTTCAAACACCACTCAATCATTCCCCCCAACTGAAAATTTCTCACATAATCTCACATATCTGTGAGTGCCACCTTTGGTATTAGTGATCGTCACAATGTGATTGCAAAAAAGAAAAAAACAAAAGAGGATTAGTGATAGTCAACGATGAACAGGGCATAACCTTTGGGAAGAGTGACAGAACCAAAAAAAAAACAGCCTAATAAAAAATGTGTACAAAGGAAGGCTAACAAAAAGTATATTATTATAATATATATAATCATATTTATTTTCTGGCTAGGGCCAAATAGTTAGGGCAAAATACCTTGTCTGCGTCCTGGCCCTCATCGTGATTAGGTCAGCCAAAAATATCTATTTTTATTTTGGGCTTTTTTTTGGGTAGGACTAGGAATTTCTTCCTCAAGCTTGAGTGGGCATATTGGAACATCTTTAAAAATTATTAACAGTCAGTGTCACTATTTTAATGACCAACATTAATTTTGCCTTAGGAGAAAAATGTTATTTACATGTAAGCCATGTAATTATATAAAATTTGGGTTTCTATGTAATTTTTATAGGGTTAAGTATAAAACTACCATGTATTTGACATCATAAAATTTTTGGGTGCAACAATACACACAAACGTTCTCAAATGAAATAAAAAGGAAAAATTACACTTAGATCCCATATAAGACAATTAATTCAGAAAAAGTTCCTGAAAATTCCGAAATGATTCCTAAGACCTTAGGGAACTGTGTGTAATAAATTGTAATTGTAAAATTACTTACTTACCCCCCACTAATTTTATTGTAACAATTCATTTATAGCCTCAACGGTGGCTGTTGATAACTCGAGGAGAAGTGGTTGACAACCTTGGCAGTGCCCTCAACAACTCACTCTGTGAGATATCGGGGCATTTCAAGGTTGTTAACCACTTCTCTTCGGGTTGTCAACAGCCACCGTTGAGGTTGTAAATGAATTGCATTGAGTTCAAATTAATAGGAGTAAATAGGTAATTTCACAATTAGAATTTATTACACACAGATCCCCAAGGACTTAGGAATCATTTCGGGATTTCGAGGGACTTTTTATAAATTAATTGTTTTATGTGGAACCTGAGTGTAATTTTTCCAAATAAAAATGACATGTTTGGTAGTGTAGTTAATGTCCATTTTTTTATAGCTCCACCACACTAAAGTAAAAGATATATTTTTGAGTGAAAATGAATAGTATATTAATCAAAGTATGTACAAGAAACAACAGATGACGCTGTGGAGCTAATAGAACTGGGGACACATGCCGCATTGGAGGTCTGTGGAGTTAAAGATATTAAGTATCCGTAACAAGCATGGCATTTTATTTCCATTGAAGAACCTCCATGTATGTGTAGTATCATAGTAATTTTAGGACTAAGATTAAGATGTAAATTTACTTTGGAAGTTTTCACTTAGAAGTTAGAAGTATTGTGCATTTAAAAGTTTTTTGGATTCAATATTATTTTAAAAGTTTAAAATAACGACAATTTTATCCCCTAATTTTAAAAATATTAATACTCAATGTTATTAGTTTAACAGTTAATATTAATTTTTTAATAGTATGAGACATAATTGTTACGATTTTAAATTTTTAGAGTAATATTAGGCCCAAAAAATTTCCTGGTGCTCTATACTTCTAACTGAAAACTTTTAGAATAAATTTGTAAATTTAGTCTTAATTTTATACTCCCTCCGTTCTGTTTTATAAGATACAATTAACTAAATCACATTATTCAAAAAATTAGTTAAAATTAGTTAGATGCAATAAGTATATAAAGGTGTAACATTTTTGCCAACAATACCCTCATTTATGTGGAAGAGAGATAATGTGTGGGAAAAAGAATAAATATGAATTAAATACAATTATACGAGTAGTATGAGTAATTAAATAGAGATAAAATAGAACATCAACACATAAAATTTGAGACAATCTATAAATGTCTCTTATAACAAAAAACATGATATACTTTACAATTGTCTCTTATAGATAAGTTTAGGTTCAGTCGCATTATTTTAAAATTTTAAATTAAAGTATTATTTTTTTCCCAAAAAGATATTGGATGTCCCAGAAGGGACAAATATTACATTTTTATAAGCTGGAACGATTCAAGAAAACAACCGAAACGAGTCATACGTATTTGGAATGGCTGCACAACATGTTTGCCGCCTTTGTTTCCGATGGATTCAATTGAGTTTCTTTCTCACTTCTTCTTCTTCACACCACCAGATTCAAACTCTCTTCTTCACTGCGATTCTCCCATTTTTCCTCAATCTCATCAAATGATCCTCATGTAACCAAATCGAATATCTTTTCTGTGTTTTTTTTCCCTCGAAAGATACTCAAACGATGGATCACACCCCATACTCGACCCCGAGAGGATCTATTTCATTGAGTATAGGAGATTCCGCTGAGCTCGAGGCCAATCTCACTCTCAGCGATAAGCTAAAGATCTTCAAGAGCTCCTCCTTTGATCCCAATGACTACGTTACTACCAAATCTCGTAGCATGAACGAGAAGGTTGGGTTCTGTGCCTCCCGTTTTTCATTTTTCTGCGTGCCGATGAATTTCAAGTTTAAATGTGGGTTCCATTACTGGTTTTGGGGAAATATGCTTATTGTTTATGCCATTGATTGACCTAGAACCGTGTACTTTTTCGGTGCAGCTGGGCATTTTAACATGAAGCATCTTATTGAAATAATGTGGTTTAATTACTTTATCTTATGCTAGAAAGAATAAGTTATCGCAATTTTTTGTGAGTTAAAACAGGCTTAGCATCTTTTTCCTTCCTGATATCATTATTTAGTTTGACTACTAAGTATATTTATATCAATCTCGGATTTGACTATGATGAAATATGAGTGTTTCATGGATGTCACCGTGTCCTCCTTGTTCAAAGTGTTCCTAATTGTGGTTTGGCATAAACCATACAAGTTTTTGTCCCAATAATGCGACTTATAATTAAGTAATGCCAAAAAAATATACCGTTTGATTTGTATATTTATCACCCTTTTTCCTTTATGTTTAACCAGTGTTCACATTGTTTACAGGATATAAAAATTGCCTGCAATTACCTTCACGAATTGAAAAGGGCTTCAGCAGAAGAAATGCGTAAAAGTGTTCTCGCTAATTATTCAGCCTTCATTCGGTAAGCTCCAAATTAAAAATCAAGACAAGCATTGCTTCACAATTTGGAAATAGTATTTGTTAGACATTAAAGCTCTCTGCTATGAAGAAAAGATAAATCGAGAAGTTCATACGATTTTGACAAAAGTTGTGTCAATATGATGAAACAATGGTTGCTATTACCACTGGCAACATGTGCTCCTCCTGAGCTTGTAGTTTGCTTGAAAGGAATACATTCTTTATTTTCCATTTTCTCTTCACACACTTTTCAAACATAAATTAGTTCTGAAAATTTGGATAAACCTTGAAAAAAAAAAAAAAAAGAGTAATGAACTAAACTCATGAGTATGTCAGAGACACATTTTAGTGGAACTCATCTCTAAGCCTTTTACTTATCTCTATTATCTATCCTATCTAGTATAACTTTTGCAGCTTTGGCTTTCTGGTAATTTTGTTATTGTATCTTAAACATGCCTATTGCATAGAGGTCAGGCAGAATTGAGAGTCATAGGCTCATAGCTATAACATCTATAGGAAATTGCAGTAATCCATACTTTACAACCACATTTTAATATGTTAAAACCACACGTCATGTACAACTTTTAGTGAGATTCATCATTGTCATATATATATTTATATGTATGTGACGCTAATTTTAAGGAGATTGAGAATGGTTTTCTTAATCGTAACAAAAAATATGATCTATTATTTTATCAAGAGCCTAATGCACTCTGCAATCTTTCTACATAGCACATCAAAAGAGATCTCAGATCTTGAGGGGGAGCTGCTTTCCATGAGAAATCTCCTATCCACTCAGGCTGCTTTGGTTCACGGTTTAGCAGACAGAAGTCGGCTTGGTTCTTTGATCACTGAAGCCAAAGGTTCGGATACAGACGACATGCTTAATGAAAAGGCAGACCAATCCAAGACAGAAAATTGGATTACAGGATATCTTGAGAAGCTTGAGGTCCTATTAGCTGAGAAAAGAATAGAAGAAGCCATGACCTCCTTACAAGAGGGAGATGCCATGGTAGAGGAAATCAGAAACAAAAAAGCTTTAAGTCCAAGTGCGTTAGTTGTATTAGAAGCTGCTGTTACAGAACACAGAACTAAGTTAGCTGATCAGCTTGCAGAAATTATATGTCAGCCTTCAACTCGTAGTTCTGAGCTTCGTTCATCTGCGCTAGCTTTAAAAAATCTCGGAGATGGTCCTCGTGCACACACATTACTCCTAAATTCTCACCAAGAAAAGTTACAACGTAGCTTGCAGAGTCTTAGGTCTGTCTCACATAGTGGAGGAGCATACACAGCCAAGCTCTCAAAGCTTGTCCTGTCCACCATTTCACAAGCAATGAATGATTCCTTGACAGTGTTTGGTGAAGAAGAGGCTGCATATACTTCTGAGTTAGTGACTTGGGCTGTAAAGCAGGCTGACCACCTTGCCTCTCTCATCAAGAAACATGTTCTGTTATCTACAGCATCTGCTGGGAGCTTGAGGGTTTCTTCTGATTGTGTTCGTGTTTGCTTGAGTCACTGTTACATCTTAGAAGCTCAAGGGTTAGCACTTTCTCCTGTGTTGTTGAAACAATTCAGGCCATTTGTTGAGAATGCACTGAGCACAAACTTGAAAAGAATCGAGCAATGTTGTGCAGCTAGAGCTGCTGCAGATGATTGGTTGCTTGCTTATTCACCTAGCAGCAGGCTTTCTGGGTTAACTTCTGCTGCTTCGTTGACGAACGCATCCCAAGCACCCAGGCTTTCTAGCAGTGCTCATAAGTTTAACTCAATGATTCAGGTTTTTACCCTGAGTGGCTCTTTTTTGAGATATTAAGAAAAGGAATAATGTTTTTTCACAGGATAATTTAAACTTTAGAATTGAAGTAGCTCTTGACATGATATTAGAGCTTTTATGACCAAGTGGTCGTAAACCCGATCTTTGCTGCCTTCCATTCTCTTGATTGAAATTAGGTTTCAGGACAGAGTATGTCAGACTGTGCTTTGTCCGCACTTAAATATGTGAATACAACTCTAATGTGCATGCCAAGGTATATATGTTGCCACGTTCCATATTTTAAGTTTGACACGTTTATATTCGTAACATGTCAACAGTAAGAAAGTTGAAAAGCATTCTTGAGTTTGCCTCTTTTATTTTGCAAAAACCAATCTCGTCCTGAAAGTTACGGAGAACTAGTTGGATGTTGCAACATCAGATTATTTATCATTGAAGCTCACACTGTTTATTATTTTATTAGCATTATTGATTCTTTTTCTTCATCACTGTCCTCTGCTATGCTTATATTCTTGACTATAGGTTCTTCATTGACATGGCTTTCCACTATCTGGAATTCAGGAGTTTTTCGAAGATGTTGGGCCTCTAGAATTCCTAGAGTTGGATAATCTTGCATATGAAGGTCTCCTTCAATTGTTCAAATCCTATGTCAATCTCTTAATAAATGCACTACCAGGTTCAGTGGAAACTGAGAACCTGGAAGGCACAGGGCCAAAAATAGTTAGGGTAGCTGAGACAGAAGCACAACAAGTGGCATTGTTGGCAAATGCATTGTTGCTGGCAGATGAGTTGATCCCACGTGCCGTCGTGAAGCTTTTTCAAATCACCAAAAGTGATGAATCCCAGAAAAGAGCAGGACCAGAGAAATATCAGAAGGCTCCTGAACAGAGAGAGTTGAAGAAAAGGCTCCAGCGTGAAGTTGATCGCCTGAGAGATAGCTTCTGCAGGCAACATGCTCTTGAACTCATTTTCACAGAAGATGGACACACTCGTTTGAATGCATTGATGTATTTGAGTATGGATAGTCATGCAGAGGAGCCTGAGTGGTTTCCTTCTCCAATTTTTCAGGTAAATTTGCTTTCACTTTGAGAAATTCCCTGTCCACCCGGAAAAAAAGAAGAGAAAATGGGAAAAAGAAAACAAAAGACGAAAAGAAAGTAGAGTAGTTATAGATAGACTAAAACCATGTAAATGTGCATTTTTCAATGAGACCCAAGAAAGTTTGGGGAAGACACATTACTTAAAAATGGTAGATAAAATTGATCTTGAAGAAACTTATAAGCATGTCAAGCAAAATTTTGGGGGGACCCACCCATCTTTGATATGCTTTTATGACGTTCGTTAATGGACTGGTTGCAATTCCCCCCCTTAAACAGTTCCTATCATCTCATCTGTGAACCACATTTATGGATGAGTGAGACAGACTTGAGTAAAATATACAGCTTTAATGCGGTGGCTTCCCTCGAATCTTGTGCCTTAGATTGTCTCAATTTTTTTTTTTTTTTTGGGGGGATTGGGGTGTGCCTAAAAAATCTCCCATGGGTGCATAAACGTTAATTTATGATTAAACTAGTTGGTAAATTTATGAACCAAATTTATTGATTTCCCCCCTTTTATGCCATATCCGCTTGGGTCGTTATAGTCTCATTTCACTCTGAGGCAACTGTTGTGGCTTTCCCTTTATTTTAAAAAATATTATAGGCATTGTTATTTTCTTTTCTTTTTTTTTTTTTTAAACTCTAAAGTCTAAGGTTAGAATTTTACTGCATAATATTGCAGGAGCTCTTTTTAAAACTTTCTCGAATGGCAAGCATTGCTACAGATATGTTTGTGGGCAGGGAAAGGTTTGCTACTACTTTACTAATGAGAATGTCGGAAACAGTGATTCTGTGGCTTTCTGAAGATCAAGCATTCTGGGATGAGATTGAGGCAGGTGAAGTGCCTTTAGGCGCTTTCGGCCTTCGACAGGTAACTTTTATTCTACTTTTTATTTTATTATTTTTAATTATTCGAAACACTCGTTTATAGGCTTGTTTCTTGTGATTGACTTTAACCTTGGACGTCTGTTAGGAAAAATCTTATATCCGTTGGATATCATTGAATTTTTCAGTTATTTGAAAAATTGCTTTCAAAATTAGCTAACCGTTTGTTAAGTATATTATTAAGAGAAAATTTTTTTTAAAAAAAAAGAAGCTGAAAATTACTAAATCCCAAGTTAGGTTTGGTAACAACACTTTACTTCGTGTTGATAATACTGAATTTGCAAATAACAATAAATTTTTATTGACATTCTTTATTTGACATTTAATAATTTCTAGCTTTTTGTTTTTTGTCATTTTTCCTATTACTTATTAAGCAGCAAAGTTTTTTTAAAGCTATAGTTTTGGAAGGATGTTAAAATGATGCCAGGGATCCCCAGAAGAAAAGGCTTGCTATTATCAATTAGGAAAATTCTTTAGCGTACAAAGTATGATGTTAACTTGGTTAACTTCGTTAGATTAATTTAACTGTTTTTATTGAAATTTTAAAATCATTATTAACTAACCAGGGACTAATGCATTGTGGATGCTAAAGAGATTTTCATTTCTTTGAAAAATTACTTCCTAAAGTAGGTTGAGTGTTTGATAAATATTTTATATAACTAGATGGAAAAGCTATTTTAAACTACAGTTTTATATGGATGTAAAAGTAATGTTGGAAAGTCCCTAAAAGAAAAGGTTTGGCATAATTAACTAGGAAAACTCTTATGCACACCCAAAATCAACTGTTAGAATAAATGACAAGTAATTAGTATTATTGTGATTTTATCAACTAGGTAGGCATTAATGCATGATGGGTATCGGAATTTTCCATTATTATTATTTTTTTCTTTTAAAAACAAAGTTGCTTCCCAAGATACTTAGTTGTCTTAAGAAAACACTAAATGGATATCTATTTAAACTTTTTACTTTTCCTTTATGGTGTGTGACTTCCTAATGTGCATAACACGAACCTACTAGGTCCCCCAACCTACGACTAATTTGGACTTGAGATTCTGTCAAGCCTAAATTAGGAGAAGTTCTTTCTAAAGCATATTCTGCTCACATATTAACTTGAACCCAAATCATTATGCTTTAGTGGAGTCTAACACTTTTGCTAGGACCACTACCTTTTTGTTGACATCTGGAAACTTTAAAAGAGCGCTTTGTCATTTTACTTAATATGAATTACAAGTAAAATGTACAAATATCATGAAAATGGCTCTAAGGATTCCCTCTAAAACACCAGTCACTTTTAAGTGAGATGAAACCCCCCCCCGGGGGCCGTTTTCTAATTGTATAGAAGCCTTGAATCTGATTATTAGAGGCTGTGACATTTCTCATCCCTTTAGAGATATACTAGAGGGTAGTAGGATAATTTTCTATAGGGATGTGCAAGTCTTGATTAACCACTCCCTTAGGTATTGTTGATTTTTTAGCTGAGTCTTTGCATATTATCGTGGAAAATTTTTGTACTTTTGATCAACCCCCACCTCTTGTGCAATAAGAGGAGGAGTTTGCTGATGATTTAGCCATGATGCTTGTTTTGTACTGACTTTTGATGAATACAGTTTCCATTCAGAACCTCCCACCCCCCCCCCCCAAAAAAAAAGAAGTTGCTATATTTTAATTTTATTTAATATCATCAATCTTCTATTTTTATTTGTTTTAAGTAAAAGCTTGAGTGTCATTTCTTATCCGTGCAATTATTTTCTTTCATTCTCTGTGTGGGTGTGTGCACGCGCACGTTTTTATTCTTTCTGTCTGCATTAAATAAACTTTGGCTTACTGCCTAAATACTCCCAGACTCACCTTGCTTTTGGTTTCATAAAAATGCGCAGCTTTATTTAGATATGCAGTTTGTGATAATATTTGCATCCCAAGGTCGTTACCTATCTCGTCAGCTCTCCCAAGTTATTAAAAACATGATTGCTAGGGCCATTGATGCTGTTGCTGCTTCTGGGTTAGATCCTAACAGGTACTTTCATGTAGCAGAAACAGATTTTTTTTTTCCCCTTCTTTTTTTGGGGTAAAGGCAGAAACAGTATTTTATATGTATTAAATGTTCATATTTATTTGTAAATGACAAATCATAAAAGTATTACATGATCAAATTAATAGGAAACATACTGTTTTAATGTCCTAACAGATAGCTAATATTTTAATTTGGTATTAAAACTCTTATGTCACCATTTCATTCCATTTTCATTGAAAATTTAGTCAAACGTATTTTTGTGTGCTTTTTGAATGGTTCATTTCATCTGCCCATTTCTTTTACCATATGCTACTTGAAGCCAAGAACCTTGAGTTTATTACTGCAGTGTCCTGCCAGAGGATGAATGGTTTGTTGAAGTTTCTCAAATAGCTGTAGAGATGATAAATGGGAAAACTACGTTTGGTCATGTTGAGAGAGAAGTTACTAGCCCTACTGCTTCTATATCAGGAAGGTCAATGTCATCAATCCATTCTCACGGAAGTAACTAGCTGACAACACTTCAGGGGACAGAACAAGCTGAAGAGAAAACCACAATCAGTTTTTTCCACACATGTTGCAGGTAACACCGATAGATTTAATTTGGATCCATCTATCACTTTTCTGTCAAAGAATCTGATAAGAAATGCTTAAGTTTGCTCTTTGAAGTTTGTTCACAGCTTCCTACTTGGCAAAGATGAATTCCTTGCCCTTTGGGATTCACATTCCTGGCATGCTTGAGTTGAGGATTTCATGCAGATCAGACCTTCTGCCTTACTTGATATTTGCACTTTGCCGCTAAGCAAAAGCGAGATGTGGAGAATATATCAAATTGCTGCCTCGAGATTCAGGTTTTGGTTTCATTGCAGAGTTTTGTGTGTGTATATATTCTCTCTTTTTTTGATGTCACAAGAATGATTAAATTGAATGAAATCTACATAGTTATGTTTATTATATAACTCTGCTAACATGAGCTCTTACTATTTCACCATGAACAATCGACGATTTATTTGTTTCTTTTAATTTATTTCATTAAGATAAGGCCAACAAGATCCACAAAATACTGCCGATGTAAATGGGGATCTGATATTGTTTTAGCATTGTCCCAGACTTTATTTTCTCGTACTGCGTGGGTCTTTGAATCGTTTAACAAAACGCTATCTTCCAATGTAACGTAGCCTGTGAAACGCCATTGGTACTCTAAATTCAGCACATAGAAACAATGGAGTGCCCTGTGTAAGAGCGCATTAGGCATTTCCTTTGAGATTTCAATATCTAGGACACACAATAATGGACGAGACTTCAGTTCGTTTGATAAAAATATAACGCGTAAATATTCTTTTTGACTTAAACTTTCCATGTGATTCAAATAAGAAATATATAAAGAGCTTTATTTCCAGTTTGGGGTTATTTTCCATCTCAGCATCTTTAAGCTTAGGCTTAGCTATCAGCTATCTTATAACTTTGAGGAGTATTGAAAGGCTTAACCCCATTAGAATTGAAGCTGAGGAAAATTATTGTGCTGGTAAATAAATGGATTACTCATAAGTAATTTCAAAAATTATGTGAATAGTATGAGCTAGTTAAAATTTAAATCAAATCATGATCCCACAGATATTTTAACCAAATTTTTTTATCAATCTTTGGAACATTTGGTGTGACTCGTTAGTCAAGAAAGGGGCATAACTAATCTCCCGAGAAATTGAAATTACTGAGTTTTATTTTAACGAAGTCCATAAATTTAGTTACTTCAAGCTTTTTTCTTGTTTTTAAGAAAATGACAAAAAAAACCTGTTAAATTTTAAAATGATGAATAGGTGATTTTATAGCATATCAAAACTTTTATAAGAATAGTTAGTATCACTTATTTGTCATTTTTAAAATTCAACAAGTATTTTATGATCATTTTCCTCATTTTTAAATAGTACAAATTAATGATTTTTATTGATAGTAATTTGGGTTAATGCTATTTTTAATTCTTGACATGTGATTTTGGTTCCTAAAATTTAATTTTGTTTTCCTAAAAAATTTTGGTCCCTTGCCCTTGAAACAAGGTTTTTGGCCACTAATTTTGACTATTTTTTTAATGTATGTAAAGTAGTTAATTAAAATTTATATAAAAGCATGGCCAATTATGAGTCGCAAGAATTTTATCAAGTTCCCTCGCCAACTTGGTTAAAAAAAAAATCCAGTTAAAAATGAAGGGACAAAGTAGGATGTGGTAACTTGACAAATTTGGTCTGCTTTTATTTTATTTTATTTTTTTCCATAAAGTTTTAATTTTTAAAGGTAATTTATAGGTTTTTTAGGGAATCGTTTTTGAAGTGTGGAGGTTAAAAAATTAAAGGCCAGTCTTCTGTTTTGGGCTGAGTCCAAGTTGGAGATTAGTTTCTTGTTTTCCCTTTAAATTTTAACAATTTAAAACTCTCCTCCCTCATCAAAAGGAGGAAACTCACATACACAACCATCACTCCTCCACCCACCCCATTTTGTCACCCTGGGCTATAAAACTCACAACCTCCTCCATAAGAGGAGGTGTGGGAGGTGTGGGAGGTCATTTGAGCTATAAGTTATTGTCATGTTAGTATCTTTCAAATTATCTTTGAAGGGGTATTCTTTCAATTTTTATTTTTTATTGGCTAGGGTGGGGATTAAAGTACCTTCTAAACCACTAATAGGAGCTGGCTAAATAATTTACTTTAGTTCTAATTATATCTACTTGTCCTCCCAAATTTATAATTTTTTCAAATTATTTTTTTCTTGCATAAACTAAAGAGTTGAGATGCATTCAACATCTTAAAATATTTTTTCAACTTAATGGTGCATCCAGCACCCTGATATATTTTTTTAGGTATATTTAATATCCTAAAATATTTTTTAGTGTAATTTTAAATTTAGCAGTTTAAGGTGCTATATGCACCAAAAAAATAATTTGGGGTGTTGAACATGTCTTAAAAAATATTTTAAAAAATTGGATGCATCAAAATATAATTTAAAATGCTGGATGTATTTGAAAAGAATACTTCATGATGCTAGACACATCATTAAATATTTTAAGATGTTAAACGCGTTTAAAAAATATTTTGAAATGCTAGATACACTTTAACTTTATATTAAAAAGGATTTTCATTGATAAAAATAATGATAACAAGTAATTTAACTAATACTTAACTAATTTTTTTAATATTTATAAATTAGTTATTTAAATTTAGTACAGCAAGCAGTATTTATACAAGTTCTTCATTAATAACTATTGTGGTGATTCTATGATTGTAACTTTGCCACAAGTATAATTTTGACAGTTTTTAGCAACATGATTGAGATTTTAATGTTGTACTTTTATTCAAAAACCTCCAAATGAATTCTACCAAAAAATAAAAACCTCTAAATGAATATAAAAGTATTGCATCTAAATGCGCAGCAAAATTGACTCCAAATCCTTTAACCCATCATTGAAAAATAGGACTACCCATTATTGAAAAATAGAAACTGGCCATTGAAATAAATGGCATTATATAAAATTAATAGATTAATACATACTCTGATGTTTAACTACTCATAAACTATGAATTATGTGACTTTATGAGTCATGTGACCTATCCTAACCTTCTTACAAAGCACAAGCCCAACAATTTCGATATTTTTTTCTAACGAAAAAGGACTGACTCCCTTGCCTGAGTGGTGAGTGGGCCCATGTTTCACTTTCAATTGTTGAACAAGTGATTCAATTATTGCCATATTGGTAATGACAAAGATGTTCCATCAAAAGACAAAAATGCCATGCTGGCCGAAAAGAAAAATACCATGCAATTATATTATGTAACTGACCATTATTATTTATCATAATTCTAAAACAATAATAGTCAACTTCTGAAATTTCAACGATCCTGAGTTAACCCAAATTGTGGGTACTTCATGTAGTCAATGGCATTTAACCTAATACAACACAAGATCTGCTCTGGCAACTCCTCCGCTTTGTTCCCCTGTTTCATTATGCAAACAGAGAACTTGCACATAACTTGGATTGTCCACAATCATAAAGTCGTTTATTTAAAGATTTAACATTAAGAAGTAAAAGATTGTGAACGAGATTTATTTAGTTTTCCTTTTTATACCTATCATCTTTTATTACTTCTATTTCTGACTATATGTTATATGCAACCACAGAAGTGAGCCTAGAAGATCCATAACGAGGAGTTATATGTAAATGCAATGTAGAAGAGCGAGAAGAAAATGCACAAATGGTCTCTGATAGAAGAGAATTTTAATTTCCAAATCACTTCAAAATTTGCAAAATTATAAGTATAAAAATATGGGGAAAAATCTACATTTTGAGTCCCAGAAAACACAAGAACTCTTTTCCTTTTTTTTTTGGGCATGTGTTTTTCGATACACAGAAAAATGACATGTTCACATAACAAGTGCCATCTATATTACCAACTTCATCAAAACTACTTGCCTGGATTGTGAGGCCAAGATCAAGGACGCAGATCTTTAACCTGTCCATGAAAGTTTCAAATCCTTTCCTGGAGATGTAACTGAACCTATGCATATCCAAATCAATCTCAAAGTAATTTTCTCCCTGAAAAATAAGTACATTTATCGGTTAGCTCATCCGGAGGAAGGATTTTCAAAGCAAACAACTATGTGTTGTCTTTTAATTTGTGGACGAAAACTAAAGGTGCCCAAGAAAATTCATAAAGGGGCCACACAAAATGGTGCAAGCAATCAACTGAAGAAGGTGGCCACAGAAAAACTTGGATCTTATCATTATATATTTTTTTTTCCTTTCTTTTTTTCAATGGCCCTGTTGAAAGTTTTATCAAGGAAAGCAAGCTGACCACACAAATGGCTTTTACAAATGAATGAAAACGACCCACAGGCCCATTCCATCATAAAATGAGTGCATGTTTATCTTTTGATTCAGGCTTTACTGATACGCAAAATAGACTTTTCAACACCATTGGGGACACTGAATACCTGGCAAATGACTCAAAAATAGACAATAGAGAGAACCCACAAGATATGTTGAAAGGTCAGATATGATCACTACAGCAAAACTGCTGGAAGTAACGCAATGTAGGACGCTTCTAGATTTGGCATTGTCTAGGACTATTCAGGCTTTTTCACATTATTGGGTTGAAAACCAATAGGCGTATTGACTGAAGCAATTGCATTATGTCAGTGAAACTTACTGAGTAAAACTCATGTTGAGGACGTGAAAGAATAGGCTTCTCGTTGTAAGCCAGCATAAGCTTTCGTTCAGCTACACTCATTGGAAGATCTTCCACATTGACAACACGGCCCAGTATTTTCAATCTTTCTCGGAAGGCTACTGTTGTGTCTACAGGAAAGCCCTTCACCTTTTCAGCTTCATCATCCATCAACTTCTGTAGAAAGGCATAGACATTTGTTGTTTCATCAGAAACATGAGCTCATTCAATCTCCCCAAATTAATATACAATTGTTTAGGATTATCAGATTAGATATGATTATGGTACATTCTTTTACTTGTCCCTTTTTTCCATTTTCTTTTTGATGGATTATGGACAACCAAAGAGCTAATCCTAGTATTTAAGTAGAAACAGAGCTGATTGGCAGTATAGGATGTACATAGCTGGTGAAATAAAGCATTAAATTGACACATAAAGGCTCCATCTTACTCTGATTTGTTCTTGAAAATAGTGTGGAAGCTCCTTAGTGTAACTTTCAGAAAGTTTAAAATACAACACAAAATTTATTCCTTCTCCATCAGTTTCACCTTGAAATAGCGCGGCAGGGTAGAGAGGAATCTGAAATCCATTAAAAATGAGAAAATTAGACAATTAAAATTATAATGAAATATAAGAATAAAAGATATCTTCTCATTAAAGATAGTAAAGAGCTTAAAGTAGCAATGTGGCATAGTGAATTTTTTGCTGAAAACACGCACTAGTCAGGGAATACATATAATAAAGGATTAGAATGGAGCCAGAAGTCCAAGTTAGGGATAAAAAATGTAGAACATTAACAATATCTTAGCGCATAGTAGAAGCACCTGAACATTTACAACAAGCATGGGCGGAAGATTTCCAGAAGAATTAATGACAGGAAGTTCCACAAACTGAGCTATATGGTTCACTTTTCGTGGAGATAAGTACACATCTACACCAAAAGGATAATATGCTGAATAGTTGGAAGCAAATTCCTTCTTCTTGTCCCTGTTATAAAGAACACCGATAGACAAGTGAAAACTCAGTTTTTTTTCCCCCACAAGCCATCAAGTTGTATTTTGATAATATGCAATTATGCAGTTTAATTCTTTACTAAGATATGAAAATCTACGTCTAAAGGAATTTACAGAAAGAGGTCTTACTTTAAATAATTCACTCCTCGAACTTTGAAAGTGCCCGAGTCAATTCGTGACCAACAATCAAGCATTTTCTTCTCAATTGGACAAAAAGGTACCTGTGATCCTGCAACTGGTCTTTGAAGAAGGGTTCTTGAGGAAACTGAAAAACAAGAGGGAAAAAGAACGTGATATTAAATGTAGTATCTAATAATAATTACACTAAAATGTGTTTACAACTATTAATTCTACAAACAATTAAACCATAGAATGTTGCTTTGAGCATTTCAACTCACGTAGATTAGCATGCTCATTTCCTTCCTTCCCTTTTAAGGGGAGTTTCATAGAAGCCTTTCTCCTTGCATTAGGAGAACCAGAAATCGATGATCTTCTTTTCTCATCAGAAGGAATAGTCACTGCAAGACATGGCAAACAATTATTTGGAAGAATCCCACAATTGTCCAACAGTACCCCATCCTTCTTGTTGTTGGAAGCATCCACTGATGAAATATCATCCACATATACAGCTTCATTTGCTTCATTGTGTTTGCACTGAAAATCAGTGTTATCTATTGTTGAACTTCCATGGTTGGCATCTCTTGAAGATGAGTAACTTGATAGGGATCCAGCTTCAATACTATTTAAAGACATCAAATCTGCAGATATCAACTACATTTAATCACCCACAGAAGTGGTAAGTACAAGTTATCCAAATTAATTCATAAGTTTACGAAACCATACCATCAGGGATACTCAGGTAGTCTTCATCACAGTCAGATTCAAATAGAGCAATTGAATCAAACCACGTCTCCTCAACACTACCAGCTGCCAAAAATTCAAATCTCAATCACATTGGAGCAATAATGAAGATCATTATAAAAGCATAATTGGATTTTTAAACGAAACATTTAATCTGCCAAATGTAAATATAAGCTTTACTTCTACAGCCACAAATCAATTACATTTTCTTCAATCATTACCTAACTTTAAATCAAGCAAAATTACTGCAAACTTCTGAGCAAAAGAAGCAAATGTGTACCATTCATTGACACATCCATCGTACTTTACCATGCATTACTTTTGCTAGTTAATTTGGCCTTCCACAAACAAGGATCATTCATTCCATGACATGCTCAGAAACTCACTCCTCCGATAAAATCTCCCAAATTCTACACTCCGATTATCTAAAATCAAAGAAGAAATAGGCATTCTTCACTTGAACCAAAAAGAAAAAAACCATAAGAATGAAGACTCTTTAAATCAAATAAAAACTCTTTATAGCCTCCCAGTTATAGAGTTCCGACACTAAAATAATTTCGCAGAAAGAAAGCCAAGAAAAAAGAAGACATGAAAGAACCTTGAAAGGCGGGTTTGTCCAATGATCCATTAGACACGTTTGAAGACACTCTTCTTCTGAGTCCATATCTTCGTCTCATCCCAGTCTTCTTCTTGGACGAGCTGGACCTCTCTCCAACGCATCCCTTCGGTTTTGACAAACAAGAGCCCATCACAAAAATATCTTCTCCACCTTAGACTCCGATCGCTCTCCTCCTTCTACCCATCATCATCCCCAACAGCTATCTCAGAGAGGCAAAATGAAATTTTAAAAAGAAAGGAGGACAGAAAAGAAAAATAATAAAATGAAAGCTTGAAGCCCCCGATCGTTCGTTGGAGTGTGGGAAAAGACTCAAACTTTTTTGCTCCCACCATAATGAAGTCAATAAATAAAAAATCCCCAGAGAACGAACATGACAAAGAAAAGGTCAGATTTTTCACACCCATTCTAGAATGTGAAAGGTGAACACGATTGAATACTGTTCTTGCGTGTAGCGACGCCGGCAGTTGTGCGTCGTCGTTGTTGGTGGAGAAAGTCGTCAAATGGCTGCCACAAGTGGAAAAGTAATGGGCCCACGTGGGTGTGGCCGTGGTGGTTATAACATGTGCCACGTGGACAAAAGTGCGTTAGCCGAACCTGTGGAATTTTGCTGGCTTTTGTTGAGCGGTCCCTTTTGGCGTTTATCCGGCCTCGTCATGTCTCTTCTTTCCATTTTTTGGGCCTGAAATTCTATACTTCCTTTCAAAAGAGGATTACCATATTTGCCATGTTTTAATGGGAAAATATCATTTAAGTCCTATAATATGGACTTAATTTGTAATGAGTCTCAAGATATTCTAAAATTTGTTTTCAGTCTCCCAACCCCTAAATAAAAATAAGCTTGAAAGTAAAATATCCATTTTACCCATTAAAATGTTAGCAAGAAGAAATAAGTCGAATGGGACTTTTCACAACTGCATATATGGGAATTTACAACAAAAAATAAGAAAATAACAACTGAAAATATAGAAATTTATAACAAATAATACGAAAATAAGTTGTTATTTTCCTACTTTTTGTTGTAAATTCTCATATATGCAATCGTTAATTTTCTGTTGTGTTATAAATTTCCATATGTTAATCTTCCATTATTTATTGCAAATTTTAATATTTTCAGTTGTATTTTTTAATTATTTGTTCTAAATTCTCATATGTGGAGTTTTTAATATTCTATTATTTGTTGCAAATTTTCATATGTAGAGTTGTCAATATTAGACTTTTTTTTAATAAATTTTCATATTTCTAGTTTTTATTTTTCTATTTTTGTTGTAAATTCTCATATATGTAGTTGTTAATTTTCTATTGTGTTGTAAATTTTTATATGTAGAATATTCTATTATTTGTTATAAATTCTCATATTTTTACGTCTTATTTTTCAATTATTTGTTGTAAATGCCCATATGTGGAATTGATAATCCTCTATTATTTGTTGTATTTTGTTATAAATTCTCATATATGTAGTTAGAGCCGTCAAAACGGGCCGAGCCCATCGAGCTAGCCCTTTTAAGCCTTTTTAAGTGGAGGGTCGGGCTTGTATTTTAGGTGGTTTAAAAGAAAATTAGGTTTAAAAGGGCTAGCCCTATAGGGCTCAAAAATAAAAGGGCCAATCCTTTAGAGCCAAGGGCTAGCCCTTTTAAACCCGTCCATTTTTTTATTATTATCAATATATTTATAAAGTTATAGATTAGCCTTTTATGAATAAGTCTAAATTAGAAAAATACTTAGAAGAATCAATACTCAAGCTAAATAATTGAAAAGAATTAGATGTCTTGAACTTGTGGAAGAACAATTAAAATCAATTTTCAATTCTTTTAAGAATGGTAGCTGATATTCTTAACATTTTAATCACCATAATAGCTAGTAGATCTTACTTACCATCGGTTTACATATCTTAACAAAGTGTAAAACTTTTCTTATTCGAACAAATGTTCAGGCTCTTATTTATACTTATAACTACTGCATAATTTTATTTTAGATAAGGTAAATGAAGACAAAAACCTTAATATTTTTATCACTGAAGAAGAGCTCACTTGTAGTAAAGAACAATCAAATATTGCTGATAGTGATGAAGATGAAGATAAAGATAACAATTATGTTGATATTATTAATCTTTAATTGCTAAGTTTTATCTTTTTGTTTTTCGTGTTTTGTTAGATTTTGATTTTTTTATTTTGGATAATAGTTTATTGGCATTTAATTTTTTTCTATACACCACTAATTTATTTTACTTATATTTATAATTTGAATAAAAAATCTTAGAAGTTTTGTTGTTTTATTTTTTATTTTAAAATAATTAAAAAGAATTTAAATTTTAAAAAATAATATAAAAGGGCCAGCCCTTTTAAGCCCTGAGCCCGCATGTCCAAGGGCCGGGCTTTAATAATTAGATAATTTTAAGGTATGTGGGTTTTAAAGAGTTGGCCTTTTTAGGCCCTCGCCCTTCAAGAGCTAGCCTTTTAGGGCCGGGCTGGTCCTTATTGACAGCTCTATATACAGTTGTTAATTTTTTATTGTGTTGTAAATTTACATATATGGAGTTGTTAATCTTTTATTATTTGTTGTAAATTTTCATATTTCCAGTTGTTATTTTTCAATTATTTGTTGTAAATTCTCATATGGGGAGTTGTTAATATCCTATTATCTGTTGTAAATTTTCATATATAGAGTTGTTAATATTCTATTATTTGTTATAAATTTTCATATTTTTAGTTTCTATTTTTCTATTTTTTGCTGTAAATTTTCATATGTGCAATTGTTAAAAACCTCAATTGACCCTTTTCTTCTTCCTAAAATTTTGATGGGTAAAATGGATATTTTTCTTTCAAATTTATTTTCATTTGGGGATAGGAGGACTGAAAACAAATTTCAGAATATCTCAGGACTTCTTACAAATTAAGTCTACATTACGGGACTTAAATGACATCTGCCTCTAAGGTTTATCTCCATCTCCAAAGATAGAAGCTGCATTGGTATGGCCTTTAACGGTTTATTTTATACATGTTATAAAAATAAAGGAGTTAGAGAGTAGAAAGAGGATAGCAAGACAAGAATTGGGAGAGAAAACAAGGAGTATTTCTCATATACATATATGGGTACAAATGCCTTGTATGTGGCTTCTATTTATAGGCCCCCAACCATAAAAGTCTAATCCAAGAGTTACAAAGAAATGAATAAGGGAATAATGACAATAAATATGAAAAACTCCTCTAAAGTCATTTATTGGGGGGTTATGGATTTAAGACATTTTAAGATCAAGAATCCTATAAAGAATCCTAAGAGTTGGGGGTTATAAACATTCACATATATACAATATTTATAACACTCCCCCTTGGATGTTCATAACAAATATTGTGCCTCATTAAAACCTTATTAGGAAAAACCCAGTGGGACAAAAACCTAGTGAAGGAAAAAGAGTACACAATATATATTAAGGCTGCCTCATTAAAAACCTCAACCAGAAAAACCCTGTGGGACAAAACCTTGGTTAAGGAAAAGAGTACAGCATGATCTTTGCTCCCCCTGTCAACATCATAACTCTATATCATTTTATTGTAATAGAGTATATTAGTTTCTCAAGTCGTCCAATGCTTTTTCAAGCATATCTTCTTTTTAGTTGAACTATGCATAGTACATCATCATCAGCTTATATTGAAATGTATTCCTCTAACATATCTTCTAGATATTTGGAATTATCAATATATTCTTCACTTGCACTAAGAAAAACTGCAAAGAAAGGTTATTCTAAAAAAACACCATAATATATCTTGCATCAGCATGATTAATTTAATTCGAACAAAATGATATCATATAATAGTTTTATAAAACTATATATCCAATCTTAATTTCATTATTTACATGCATACCTGCATAAACTTATTTTTACCAATAAAATTATAACAATATTGACAATATATGTAAATATTATTGTAGAATAAATATATGGGACTTCTAGTCTATTTAGTTGAATATATTTTGCAGACAAAATTATCATTACAAAATCAATCATTTTGCAATCATTGATGCATTCAATAACTTGATCTATGGTTTAAGTAAGATACGAAATTATTTATTTTTCTAATACATTTTTTTAAGCCAGATATGTATACACAGATTATCTTATTCAACATAATATTTTAAATATTGGATGATTTTCTTCCATATAAATGCTTTTGGCATTTTAAATCCCTCAAGAATTCTCATGTAAACCTCATTATTTAGTGAGCCACATGCATAGGCTATAACGATATCAAACAGATGCATATTTCGTTTTTGATATACTGCTAGACTAGTAATATATGCAAAAATTATTGCATCCACCGTAAAATACTATGCCTAATCATAATCACTAGACCTTTGTAAAATTCTTTATTTTCACAAAAATATTCATATGTCACATAATAACTTTGTATTTGATGTGTTCGGACTGCAGGTCCATAACAGCATCATTATATTTCCATTGCATCTTTTCTCTTTTCCTTTTTCTGTTGGCCAAATTTCTATCTTCATATAAGATCCTCTTTAAAATCACATGATATTATTATCAAAAACGTTGTCAACAACTTTATTTTTTTTGGTTCTATTTTTCCTCTTGTGACATAACTTATTGAGATTTTTTCATTACTTTTCAGGTACCTGAACCTCTTCTGGGGCTTTTTTTTTCCAATAAGTTATATCTTGGCACTCTTGTAGAGCACATGCCTTCTTGATATGACTTTTAAATTTCATGCTCCTTTTTATCCAGTATAATTATATTGGAACCGATTAATCTCTCATGCTTCAGGCATGTCTCACTTTTATTTATATTAATTGGAGCATTTTCTGCTGGAGTATAAGATTTAGTAATACTCACTTAGGTCAGTAATAGCATCTGGATATTTTGTAATATCTCATGAATGTATTATTTGATGAACTTCTGGTTCATACTATCATATATCTGAGGATCTATACTTGATAATAATAATGCATTCTATATGTTATCATTTCCAACTACTTAATTTCTCCTCCTCATGTTGGGAAAACTTTGTTCATGTTGAAAAACCTTTGTCAAATAACAATAAATTAATCATACAATATAAGTCTCTTAAATTCATTTGTTTCGTTTAGAAACATCCTTTCATTTCATTTAGAGACAAGAAGGAGATTCTTTCTCAACATATATCCCAACTTTTTTTTAAAAAATATCCATATATGAGCATTGTGGTGGGCCGATGTTAATAAATATTGCACATTTAAACTTTTAAGATGGAAATATTTGGCTCTTGACCAAAAGCCAATTTTTTATTAGGAGAATTTGTTGGTTTGATATGTATAAGTGCTATAAA